GACATGTAGTAACCTCGATTACCGAAGGAAAGAGAGGGCCAAGGGAAGGTTGCATCAGAAAACTAAGTGAGTTCCTTGCTACCGAAACGTAAGTGTTATTTGGAGGGTCTTCCAAACTAGCTAGCATGGCTGAGAACCTTTCATTAGAGTTGGTCAGGTCGAAAATGTAACTTTATCTTGATAGACATACATGAAAAAGAAACTAAAGGAGAGATTAGAGCCATTCAATGATACCTAAGATAAAGGACGCACGCGGTGTCATCTATGCTAAGAACGAAATTATCTCGCCGAAAGTTCTGGAAAGGCTTGAGCAGAAAATTGCGGCAAAGGGAGTTCAACTAACCTGAAATGTTGCCCCTTTTGGTATAACGCCATTTTCGCATTGTTGTGGTATAGTGACATTCTTTGTGGATATGTTCCCGATGCTGATATCGCTGTCGGAAATGGTGAACTGATTTACATCATCCCAAAGACTTTTCGCAAAGTCAAGAAGATGGTCAACCCCCGTAAAGGCGAGATAGGCCCGAACCAAACTGTATCCCATTTGTCTAATCGTGTCAACAAAATGGCGAAGGAAAAGTGAATTTGAAACTCACATATTATTTCGTATCCTTGGGTCGACCCCAGAAGGACGGGACATGATACGATCGATGTAGTGTATGAAGCTCTCGTTTAGGAACTGCTGCTTGGTCTCGATATTGTAGTTTGCAAGAACTTCATAGAAGTTTGGCATGGCGTCAACTATGCAAAGCAAAATGATTCAATGATTGTAGCATCGAACATAGCATACAATACCTACTATCACTTAGGACTAACCCATCCGAATCCAGCCAATATGCTACCTGCTGTATAGCAGCATCTGCAGCGTGAATGCGATCCTGATTTGTATTGTTGACCTGGGTTTCCTGCTTGTGGCATCAGTACGCTTCCTGTGTGCATTGGCTAACGGCGTTACCCAAAGTGAGTTCGAATGCAATATCTGCGTACGACCTTTGTGTGGAAACGATGCGAGGAGCAGGAATAAAGAATGGAGGAGCATTGGGCAGAGCAAAGAAGGTTCTATATCGACCCTTATATCTCCGATCGGCTCATTAGTGCGTCAGAGCACTGGCCCACTGTTGGGAAAGGTGATCTAATTATTGACATGGGGAGAATGTTCGATGATGCATCAGGCTAACATCATGCAAGCAAGCATCACCAGCCTTCAAAATTCGAAGCGATCATGATCAGAGAGTTTAGATATCAGTTTCAGCCCCGACGAGCACTATCTCTATCTATCTGGTTGTCAAGTTTTGTGTAATAGAGCTGTATCCTCAGCTCAGTTCCGAGTCTGCAGGAATAAAGCTATGGCAATTCTAAGAATACCCATTGATGTTAGGTCGTTCCATTACTGGGCAATGTGGGCGGCAGACTAGGCCGCGTGGAGCCCCTAAACACCTTGAGGCTTCTCAGGTCACTGGAACACGACCGGTATTCCTCTTCACTGTCATCTGCATCACTCTCCGTTATTCGCCTCTGGTATCAAATGCGGAATCCGACGATGCAGTCCTGATGATCACTCGTTACATCATCTCCCTTTTGACTTGTCGCTGCTCCCAGTACAGAACCGAATCATACGTCAAAATAGAAGAATGCGCGGCAGTAAGAAGGCCAACTTCTAAGGTGTTCCGCTCGGTGTAAGAACTGCTGGTACCGGAAGAAGGAACAGATATGACCGGCGGTGATTACGATCATGGTCTTGTTCATTTCCTCATTAGTCTCGCTCATTGTCGAAGCAGCTTACTTCTGGCTTGAGGAACTTCTGTTCAATGTCGATTCGCATGTCTTATCAAACAAGAACCATCGTAATGCATATTGGCAGTATGTCTCTTGGACTATTCCATGCCGGGTATGACATGTCCCTGGTTTGTTCTCGTGACCAACGAGCCGAGAGCAATTGGATGCAATTTATCACCCACGTTTATCCTAGAAGCAGCATGATGTTATAACCCGTGAGCTTTATCACATTACCACCCTCATTCCTCTACGTTTCCCGTCGCCGTCAGGTTCTAATACTATTCAACGCTGTACTAACAGGATCATTTGGTATTTATTTCGCCAAAGTATGATGTTCTCGGCGTGGCCAGAGATCGTATCTTCACCACTATTATCGGCAATGACCTAATCACTTTTTCATTCCAATCTGCCTGCTCCCAAGGGCTTCAAAGTCCTAATATCTATGAATTATATTAGGTTCTTTGGCCACACGAGTTCTTATATGTATTCCACAGTCGTCGTTCCACTTCTCCAAGTGGTGAACGCGGCATACACATCTACGCGATAAGGCTCGTCCTTTGTCTGCTTTCTTTCTCCATGTTTATAGCCAGAGCCATCATTGTCAGTGAGCAGGAAGGATTACGCTAATCGTCGAACCTCGACGCAGTCGTCGCATCCGTATTGGCGTAGTGCCATAGTTGTTTGTGTGCTCAACGCAGACATTGTTATCAAAGAAAATTAGGCGACAACACATCGCTTGACTTTCAAGGTCGCATGTCCCCAAAGAAATATGTAGCCAATCGAGTTATAGGAGAAGGGAGGTACGTAGAATCGTTGGGGTGAGTAGTTGAACTGGGTGGGTGTAACCGAAAGGTGTGGTGTTGAGCATTGAGTCGGTGTCGGGTTTAAGAGTCTCGATGATCGGTAGCAGAGAGCCTTCGAATTATATCCATGAGTAGGGCATTGGATGAGGATCAATGCGACAGCGTACCATAAAGAGTCCAGACACCATCCATTCCTGTGTTCCCTAGCAAATAGCATTCTTGGAGTGGGCGAGAGTACCGGATGTAGGCTTGATTTTGGCAGAAACACGATAATAAGTAAACGACGGAGACGGAATAGAGGCGCACACATACGGTTAACGGTTGGTGCTGAACGATACGGGATGGTCCGTGCGTAACACGTGTCAAGGACCTCGGACACCCCTTCGTCAACACCGCTCATTCTCGATGCGTGAACTTCTCTCCCTTCGCCTTGCTAAAATCTTCAGCTTACGCCCTCAGATAGAGTCTACCAGTATCAGAGATACTCTCGATACTCTTTCAAGATGGATATCACCTAGAAAACACGATCCGTTCAGCCCTAATATCATCGTTTTGCTAATGTCTAACTCTACAGGACTCCCCTCGTTCTTGAATCTTGGTCTTCCCTTGGCAAAAGCGCTCGCAGGCTCGTTTGTCGATTCGTTTTGCGTTACCTTTCGAGCGGGTTTGTTGCCGACATAAACGTTGAAGAGTGAATCCGCTTCCGTGCCCCATGGCTGATTTGGTTACAGCGTCCGACTGCTTCCGTGGCCCATGGACATCTAGGATAGAGGAAGCGTCCACCTTGCGTGAATCAAATGCACGGGAGGTTGAAGAACGGTAAATCTTATTCCTGTGAATGAGCGATTAGTATCGAACCGACGAAGGGAAAGTAGGAACAAACTTCTACTGCCGACCTTCTTTAACTTTGCTCTCTCTCCTCCCCTACAAGTTGGGTAACGCGCTAGTCATAACGAGCGTGTTACAGTGGGCGTTGTGAGGGTATAGTGCAGTTGAAGAAAGTAGGTTAGCGTGTGAAGAACAATCACGTTGTGGGAGCCTATCTTTGTTGGGATTTGAGGGCAGGGAGGTGCGGAAGCAGACTTTGGAACCCGAGACGATTTGAAACGTTACGTTTGGGGTAAAAAAGTACGCCTTCTGGGCAGGGGAAAGCAAACGGGAGAGCGGGGTATGAGTACTCCGAATGTCAAATGGAAGGACGGGAACGAGTCTTCTGCCTTGGGTGAACGGTAAGCGAGGGTGGTTGTCTGGTGGAATCGAGACAAAGCAATAGCGAAGCATGGAAGAGAAGGGTTAAGGGAAGGGTCAGCGTATGGAGGGGAAGTAGCATCGTTCAGAGCCAAGGTATTTGGTGTTCTTCTGGCATTAGATGAGGTAGAAGCTGTAACCCGGGATAAGGATCAGCGTCTGGCGTAAATGGAGAGATCGCACTCGCACACCTGAGCATATGATCAACCCATGAAGGTTTGGTGCTAACAATGGTCCCTCCGACGTGAAAGCAACGTCTTTTGTTTAGGCGTTGTGTTCCGGAAGGAGAATGTCCGTGTATAACAGAGGGCAAAAGCGTAGTGGAGCCTGTGAAGAAATGGTTATGGCTCAGATGAAGAAAGATTACAGTGGGATGGTAACGCACGTCGATTATGCCCTGTATCCTTTCCTTTCTACCCGAGGAATGATTTCATGCTTGATAACGCTCTGCTCAGAGATGAGGCGGCGAAAGTTCTTCTGGCTGTAGAGAGGCTGGATCTTGTAAGCGAGCCGGATAACGATCAGCACCCGGCATAGCTGAAGGAATAGAGCAATCGTTCGTGTTTGGATTAGAGCCCGTTCCTGGAAGGGAAATGATGAAGGAAGTTGCGTATGATACACAAACCGTGTACGATGGATGCTGGGACCGAAAAGCTGAGGTTACGGGTTCTTGGTTTTTGTTTCATGGTTTTGTGGGTATGTCTAAAGTAGAGGTCGAGAGGAATGAGAGGTTCTGGGCGCAAGAAAAGGGCAAATGAACGCAAGATCGTGACGAAACCGTCGGAGGACGTACCTTCCGCCAATCTCATCCAATCTACCCCACAATGGTGGTTGCCAGGACTAGCAAAAGATGAATTAGCACAATCTATGATGCGAATGGAGGGACGACATACGTTGAAGGAGACGGAGCGATTGTGGGGACATGAGAGGCGAAAGAAAGAAACGAGCCGATCCGGAGTGTCCGAGGTCCTACTGATGTCGTAAACACGTGTCGTTCTTCTTTCCTTCTCTTCGATCACGTTCATTCCTCGACGATGCTACCAGCAGGCGACTGTCAGAAGTATTGACGGAAGTAGGTGGTTGAATTCACATATTTGACATGCCTTGTTCACGCTAACACTCGGTAAGCTGGGGAGGCTATGTTCGTTGTATGTTCCTACACTACTAACCATTGGTTCGATGGTGTAGTCGGTCATCACATCTGTCTCACATCGCCTCAGTACGGACTTGTGCACAGAAGGTCTCCAGTTCGAATCTGGATCGAACCATACACTGCAAAATAGGTGAGTTTTTACATATCCACACTGTCCTGTTGACTTTTCCTGACTAAACACGTACGCGTGCTCTTGGCCAGCCTAGTACCCGTGTATATTGTCGAGTATCGACTCTACGTTCTGCAAAGGCTATCCGAAGACCCACAATAGTCCCACTGACCTTGTCGTCTGTGAATTAAGGTACTTGATTCCAGACTAAGTGGTCCATGCGTCGTGCAGACTTTTACCTTTGCAACATCACTCTTCCCCTTAGCTTCGTTAATTGCTTGTTGAGGGAGTCACTTTTTCTTTGATCTCGATACAAACTAGAAGGAGATAGGTCACCCGAGCCATGAGATGTAGCGTCAGACTCGAGGTTGATATATAACAAACAAGCGATTCGCTCATCAACGGTGCCCGTAACTCAGTGGTAGAGTGTGAGATTGCAATACTGAAACGGATCATGACGATCTTGAAGCCGCGTGTTCGAACCACGCCGGGCACTGATATTCCAGTATAGCAGCTGATTTTTCTGCCTTCTAATTAGGAATGTTCAGATCTCGAAGTATATACAAGTTCAGCCTCCATGGATCCAAAACGAGCCTATTCTACTACACACGAGCGTCGTGCGTAATACAACTCCATATAACTCTTAGACCACAACTCCAGACCTTGATTTGTTTGCCCGAGGAAGCCTTTGAACGACTAACGAGTTGTTGTGGACTGGTATCCTATCTCCGAGGATCACGGCAAACATCTAAAGGTAACCTACGAAGATAAAGAATACGGGGAAACTCACGCTGCGAGTCCGAGAATTTAACCACTCTCCAACGTGAAAACGAAAACAACATGCTTCGGATAGGCGTTGTGGGATGACCGTGTTGAAACTATCCTATCAAGGAGTGGATATGGGTAAACACGGCCCAAATAAGAACGCACGTTGATGGTATCCTGTATCCTCTCTTCTCTTAGCTCGATCCAACTACACAGTTTCATGCTTGAGAACGATCGGCGGATAAGGTGAATCTTATAGAATAATCGGACGGGGTATTCAGCACCCGAAGTACCTTGAGGAATAGAGTAAACGTACCTCAACCTGCTCGTATGGTGTGAATTATCGTTTGTGCTTTGTTTGGGGCTCGTTACCGGAAGATAAATGGTGCCACAAATGAAGCAAGTAGCGCGATAATACACGAACCGCGGTCGATGGGTGCACGGCCGCAAAACTGGGAGTTGGGGTTCTTGGTGATTGCCTCATGGTTGTGAGGGTATGTCTAATGTCGAGGTTGAGTGGAAGTGGAAAGAGAGATTTTGGCCTGAAACAGGATGAATGAACGCTAAATCGTGACGGGAGCGTCGGAAGATCCGATATCATCCAATCTACCCCACAATGCTTGCTGTTAGGACTAACAAAAGATGGGTTAGCGCAATCTGTAACATGATGAATGGATGACCGAAACATGTCGAAGGAGACATAGCGATTGTGGGGACATGAAAGGCAAAGGGGAGAAATGAGTGTCCGAGGTCCAACTGATGTCGTAAACACGTGTCGCTGAGTCTTCTTTCCTTCTCAGCTTCTCTTCTACGTTTAATTCTTCCAGCAGGCAAATGCCATGGTGAAGTACTTACATGGAGCTGCATATCAAATGGTTTCATCTCGGTATCCCGAGTCAGAGTGACAATTAGAAAAATACCTAGTACGTGTATCCGTTATGGTGTAGTGGCTAACATTATCGCCTCTCATGCAGTCAATAGGTGCGCCCAGGGTTCGATTCCCAATAACGGAACTGGAATAATGCAATAGATTTTTTTGTCTGGTATGTCGGGCAACTATTGTTCTACTTCAAGCATCACGAGCCATGTATTCTACTCGTAAGTAAACGACAGGGAATACAACGTATTGATGCGGTTTACGAACAGAAACGAGATGAGGAACAGCAACGGAATCCTAAGAATTTCGCCGCTGACTACTGCTATTGTCTTAAATGTCAAACGCTTTTAAGTACAGTTTCTTGCTCAAAAGCTCTTGTCTCCCATTGAGTGACATGTAAAGATACTGACCGGAGACTGAGACGAGCTGCTGGAGGTGAAGTTAGCTCGACATCTCCGGGTCTTCCAGTACCAACGTCGGCCGAATCTTGATGGACTGACTGTCGATTTGGCTCGTGCCTCACTGACCTAAAGGTAGATTGGAACATCATCATATAATAAAAAAGTCCCTATAACAGTCTTGCAGTGAGCAATAAGGAATTAAATTCGGATATGGAACGAATACGCACCGTTAGTGGAATCATCTGCAGAGCCAAACATATTGAATCCCATATGTCACATAGAGAAGACTCAAACTCACTGTTTCGTTTGGGATAGAGTCTATGCTTGTGTTGTACACGAGGGCAATCAGGGAAAGCAACAGGAGTATAGTGTACATCGCCCCTGATTCGATGACGAGGAACATAAAGGTCTTTAGCACGTCCTGGCCTCCAATGATACGTATCTGTCGAACTTTGTAGCGCACATACCACACCCGAAAAGCGATAAGACCTGGTTGATAATGAGGGGTGATATAGGAACGATGAACCAAACCCACCTGTACACCCGAAGTTTGTTACAAGAGATAATGCGATGAAAGCAATCGAGATATCGAGCATCTTAGGAGGTATTGTCTCCACAGTGTGGGTTGAGGCTTGTCCGAAGAACACATTGATACGGATCCCGACTGCTAAAACGGCGATGGTAGTGACCAAGAAGGGTAGGGTAACTCGTTTGTCACCGTTCCAGACGACATGAAGCCGATATAGCTGCAGACGGGTCTGAGGTTGTTCAATGCAGAGCACGCAGCACGTTACGTACCCAAGATCCATCGCCGAGCATGATTTGGACTATGAGAATGGATTGCCGAATGAGAAATCTAGGACTGCTGAAAGGGACAATAATCCCTTGTTCGCCGTCGAGTGCTTTTACTACTCGATTGATGTTTATAACAACATGCTATGCACCGGTAAAGCATAGTCAGTCGAAGGCTAGCAGTAGAACCCCAATGAGGCTGCACTCGAGTACGCACTATCGTAGCTAAAATAAACATCAAAATCCCAATCACGTGAAATCGAACAGCTTGCATAGTGATCTTCTTTCGGGACGCCACCATGGAAGTGATTGCAAGAAGAAGAGCAAATACACCTATGAAAAAGTCCCAGTGCAGAATGATGAATGAATTCCAAGAACTCGAACTTACCGTAAAGTATACATTCAATCAACACGGCCAGCCCATTCAGCTTCGCAAGTAGTGTTCCGCCGCCCATTTCGATGATATATCCTGCATAGTAAATGCTCTTTATACACCTTTCAGAGTAGCCTACGTGCGGTAGGTAACACGGATCAGTCAATGAGAAATCATTGTAACCGTTGATGCCACGCGGAGCTTGTCAAGGTGCACATGGCCGTTGAAAGAAAGTGATGGGAATAACAACACATCAGCCACTTGGGAGAGGCAGTAAAAACAATTACAGCTCGGTGCGCTCAGCCTCATTCAAGCTTAAATGCAGTTGGTCCTCGTTAGTCTGACAGATGATCTAAGCCTCATGACCTTGATAATCAAATTCATGTTTATATGCGAAAGGCATAATGCCGAACAAGGCTCCAGCCTTGGGTGTACCTGAATCAAGGTATCAATGAACACCCGTATCCTGATGGTATGCAAGCATGTATATCTTGATGGTACTATGTAACTGGCGACACCTCCAAATGTTCAACGTCAGCTAGCTCCTCGATCCCTAAACGAAGAAAGTCGTCTTCCTTTGCCAGGTCTGTTCGTGTGCTATCTCCTGCCAGTATAGCATGCTTCCCAATACAACCCCGCGATAAATCCTCAGGGCGAACAAGAACTGGCCAGTGCAAACCAATGTTGAATCCGTTGCTTCTGTCTTCCCGCAATTATTTGCCGCGGATGACGGAAATGCTGTGATTTGCGGAAAGACGTGGTCTTGAGAGGTACATAGTCAATAGAGATGTTGGTACCACACCGTTAAGCCGTCCCATCGATTTTCTAGACTAATATGGATTGTATGCTGGACAAACCAGTGCGTTTGGGCAATGATGATCACGGGAAGGAACTAGATGACATTTAGGAGGCCATCAATATAGCGATCCGGCGAACGACTTGCTCCGCGCTGATATTTGTCAAGAGCGGGATGACAACACGTCAAGGCTAAGCTTCCCTTTTATTCCCTCCTCTGTAGCTCGTGTGGTTCTCTCAGTATTGATCACGTTCTTCATATAATGTACTGGCTAGCTCTCATCGCCTTATGTCCCATCTCAGAATGATATTGAGGTATATGCGGTTTCTTACATCCGTCTTTGTGCCCACCTGCGCACAGAAGGTCTCCAGCTCGAATCTGGATCGAACCACTCACTGACGTCGATCAGTTTTTATGCCAACTCATCGTCATGTTGACTTTTACTTTCGAGCCTCACCCACCAGATCACCAAAGTACGCGTCTTGGCTTTGGTTTTCCTCACCAGCGTCATATCATCGCTTCAGTGTTCCTCAAAATCAGCTTCCGGCATAATCAGCACGTTTTTGTGTCAGCGAACTCGAAACAGCTCGTATACAGTTTTAGCAACCGTTTTGTACCAAGATATGCTACGCAGGGCCTAATACGCTCAAAATGTCGAATATACTTGTATTTGTCGACCAAGTGAACCAAAGCTGGGCTATTACTGTATCCAGCGGTATACATGACCGCGATAAATAGAGATATGAATCCTGACCAAGAAACTAACATTCCTGACCTATACACCATCACTCTGGCGTGCGACGGTCGCACGCAACAGTTGCTCTGTATATGCATTCAAGTAGAAGCATCTTGTTTCTCAACATTACCGATCGAAAATCACATCGCATCCTCATATGTGGGAGGAAGCCGGCGATGCGCACCGCTTGGTCGCCATCCGCTATCATGATCCCGTTCTTGATCAGCCTGATTCACCGCTAGAATATCTGTCAATACACTATTATGTCCATAACAAGGAATCTGGGACTCACACGCCGAAATCGGTTCTTGAACTGGCACCAAAGTGGCAGGACTCGAGTATCTTCGGTTTCCTGGTGCAGCGACATCCGCCGTATCCGTACTCTCTCCATCTCCAACCCAATTCCGACCGCTGCGGTCTTTAAGCTGCCAATCCCTTGGTGCGTTATTGGCAGTGACGAGTTGTTTTTGGGAGATTTCCAACGTGAACGGTTCGGGAACAGTATTATTTTGGGATGGCTCGGACTGATTCCGCGGCCGTCGGCGATTGTAGAGGACACAAGATGAGATCAATATCGCGATCAATATCACTGCGCCGATGCTTCCCCCTACAATGGGTCCAACAGGAGCTCTAGACTGGGTTTCCGAAAGGCGAGGTGGGTTTTCTGTTTGTGATGTGTCGTTCCCTTGAGTGGTTTCTGGCATTCCAATCCCTGCAAGTAGCATGTATGATATGGATAACCGTCTCTTTATATCCATCTCTGATGAATTGGTATTGTTCCAGTCGCTGTAAGCTTGATTCGTCGAGGTAATGTTGTCCAGCAGAATATTATACTACGGCCACGCCCCGTCAGTCAAGCTACGGAAGATCCACAAGGAAAGAGGCGCACCTGGTGAGAAATATATGCTTCAATGTACGCTTGCATGTCACTCGAAGCTGGTAGCCTTTGCGATGCAACTGATAGGCTGAATATTAGCTCTCCAAAGTTGAGAGATATTACGCTCCATGGTGCATTGTCGTGGCCGTCGAACGTCGCCGCTATTGCGTCGAACTCTCCTGCATCATGCCATTTATTGAGCTCGGTGATAGTTTTAACGATCCGCTCTCTGAGCCTATCTCGAGTTAACTAGATCAGCAGCTACTTATTCCCTTCCTCCGTACAATACTTACGATGTTTCATCGTATAAACCCGTCGCCCAGGACATTGTCATATTACCCTCGAGGTATATCGATTGTCCCATTTCTTCCGTCTGAACTGAGAATCGAGAACAATTATCAGACTTATACCACAATGCCACTGCGACGGGGGGATCTAAGCCGCCGAGAAACTCTAGAGTCGTTGCGGTACTCCTCGCCTCTGTCGCAAAGCTGGGTTGCACGTAGTCGCCGTATGCCTGGGCACAGAACCTGAACCTGATGTCAGTACCCACGTGCAACATGTATCCACTACACACTTGTGCCATAATCTGTCAATCTCTAGTAAGTAGTCAGGGATGAGTGAGTGGATGGAGAACCTACGCATTGCTATAATAAGTGATAGAGCGGGATGGACTTCCAAAAAACAACTATACAATTGTGAACCAAACAGGTCAGGTATTTTCAAGGCCACAAACTCACCTGATATCCAACAATACTGCCTTTGAACGAGAAGTTACTCTTGGGAAGTACTGGAACGAGAGGCGATCAGGGGCTTCTATCCAGTAATCTTCACACATACAGTCACTGCACCCAGAGTCCATATTCAGCGGCCAAGACCGTCCCATCTTCTGAGTAATGCTATCGATGATGTTTTGTCTGGTCTCTGCTCCATAACTGGTGGGTAACTGCTGAGCTGCAATACCATAAAGCCTATCTTGGGTTATTTAACCACACACAACCACATATACTAAAACCCCATACAGCATAGAGTCAATTAGTGAGCCAGCCATCACCCCAAGAGAATCTTCATCACTGAATGGATGTCAATGAATAATATCGTTGAACTGCGGTGAGCGCTTACTGATTAGGCATGTCAGGCATGGTGGATGCGGTCAAATTT